ACGATGCCTACCACTTGCTTTCAAGCCTCCCAAATTGCCATGTCAAACCTCTAACCCACCTTGTCCTAGCAAACCGTTGATTGGCTATGTTACCGCTTTGCTCAGCCCCTCTTATAGCGTTGCTAGTTGCAGGTGAAGATTGAAGGCTGTTCCTTGTTGGAACATTTATTTACTTGTTGGGATATCACTATATTATCTTGTTATCTTAATGCATCTATATACTTGGTAAAGGGTGGAAGGCTCGGCCTCTCGCCTAGTGTTTTGTTTCACTCTTGCCGCCCTAGTTTCCGTCATATCGGTGTTATGTTCCCAGATTTTGCGTTCCTTGCGTGGTTGGGTTATAATGGGAACCCCTTGATATTTCGCCTTGATTAAAGCTTGTCCAGCAATGCCCAACCTTGGTTTTACCATTTGCCACCTAGCCTCTTTTCCCTTGGGTTTCCGGAGCCTGAGGGTCATCTTATTTTAACCCCCCCCCCCCGGGCCAGTGCTCCTCTGAGTGTTGGTCCAACTCGTCAGCCGCCGGTGGCTACCAGGGGCAACTCTGGGCTGGCCTACCGGAAGTTTAGACAATCAGAGTGTGCCCTGAGAAAGAGATATGTGCAGCTCCTATCGGGATTTGTCGGCACATTCGGGCGGTGTTGCTGGTCTTGTTTTAACCTATCGAAGTGTCTTGAAGAACCGAGATACCGAGTCTGATTAGAACGTCTTGGGAGGAGGTCTATTCCTTCGTTGACCGTGAGAGCTTGTCATGGGCTAAGTTGGGACTCCCCTGCAGGGATTTGAACTTTCGAAAGCCGTGCCCGCGGTTATGGGCAGATGGGAATTTGTTAATGTTCGGTTGTAGATAACTTGAACCTTAACTTAGTTAAAATGAATCAACTGAGTGTGTTACCGTGATGGCCTCTTCTCGGCGGAGTCCGGGAAGCGGACAAGGTGTTGGAGTAATGCTTGCGCAGGTTGTTCTCTAGTTTCTCGCTCGCGCTTTGCCTCCTCTTCTCGCTTTCTTTTGCGAATAAGTTAGCCACCATATTTTTGCTAGTCGCTTGCTGCAGCTCCACATATTTACCCTGCCTTACCTATAAGCTTAAATAGTCTTGATCGCGAGGGTGCGAGACTGCTGAGTCCCTGTGGCTCACAGATTACTATTACACCAGATGCAGGGCCTGATGATTCCGCTCCAGGAGACGCGCTTGAGCTCAAGTGGGAGTTTGACAAAGACTCTCAATGTTACTATGTTTTCTTTCCTGATGATCAGTAGTGGTGCCCAGTTGGGGGTGATCGGGACCGTGTCGCATGTTGGGTTATCTTTTATTTTGGCGCCGTAGTCGGGCCATGAGTGTTTGGATGATGTAATGTTATTTATGTACCTTGATTGACGTGGCAAGTGTAAGCCAACTATGTTCTCCCCTTTTTTATTATTATATTACATGGGATGTTGTGAAGATTGCCTAACTTGCGACATATGCCTTTAATGCGATTATGTCTCTAAGTCGTGCCTCGACACGTGGGAGCTATAGTCGCATCGAGGGTGTTACACCTCATTCCCATGACCTCATGTGGGACTCCGAACAACATTCGGTCACCAAATCACATAACTCATATAATACAATATCGTCATCGAACGTTAAGCGTGTGGACCCTACGGGTTCGAGAATAATGTAGACATGACCGAGACACTTCTCCGGTCAATAACCAATAGCGGAACCTGGATGCTCATATTGGCTCCTACATTTCTACGAAGATCTTTATCGGTCGAACCGTTATTACAACATAGGTTATTCCCTTTGTCTGTCGGTATGTTACTTGCCCGAGATTCGATCGTCGGTATCTTCATACCTAGTTCAATCTCATTACCGGTAAGTCTCTTTACTCGTTTTGTAATACATCACCTCGTGATTAACTCCTTAGTCGTTTGCTTGCAATCTTATGATGTGTATTACCGAGAGGGCCCGGAGATACCTCTCCGATACTCAGAGTGACAAATCCTAATCTCGATCTATGCCAACTCAACAAACACTTTCGGAGATACCTGTAGAGCATCTTTATGATCACCAATTTACGTTGTGACATTTTATAGCACACAAGGTATTCCTCTGGTATCCGGGAGTTGCATAATCTCATAGTCGAAGGAATATGTATTTGACATGAAGAAAGCAATAGCAATAAAATTGAACGATCATTATGCTAAGCTAATGGATGGGTCTTGTCCATCACATCATTCTCCTAATGATGTGATCATGTTATCAAATGATGACACATGTCCATGGTTAGGAAACCTTAACCATCTTTGACCAATGAGCTAGTCTAGTAGAGGCTCAGTAGGGACACGGTATTTGTTTATGTATTCACATATTTATTTAAGTTTCCGGTCAATAAAATTCTAGCATGAATAATAAACCTTTATCATGATTTAGGAAATATAATAATAACCATTTTATTATTGCCTCTAGGGCATATTTCCATCAATGTTAACACTCTGTGTTATTACAATTGATTACAGACGATATCATCTCGGTTCATAACAAACAAGTTTGGGTCGATTCAATATGATCGTTCTTCCAAGGTCATAATCTCAATGTTGTTTTAGGACTATCATTACACTTAACGATATCCTAAGATCCGGGAAACGTGATCACCAGCAACACTTGAGCACTTGAGCTAGTCTTAGAGGCAACACTAGGAACCTTTATTTTATCCGTTTATCATTTCACACATGCATATGAGTTTTTCATTGAATCACATATTTCAGGATCATAATAGTTATCGCATGAAATATAAACATTTAATTATGAATATGGCAATATAATAATACAATATTACTGCCTCTAGGGCATATTCCAACACATTCATACTGATGTTTGTCCTTATGTGAGAGTAGCTCCCTAGTTCTCAGGGATATGGAGGAACCCTGGTATCTTTATGTGTTGAACACCAATAGGATATGAAATCCCCACTTGCATGTTGAGTTCATAGCCTTCAAGAATGTTTTGTAAGGGGCCCCACTCAGTATTTTCACTTTATGGCCGTGGAGTTTATTACTGACATTGTAAAGGTAGGGATGTCGAGTTAAAGAGATGACAGTAATATCTTCTCATCCCCCCCCCCCTTGCAATTAGGGGAGTAATGGAGAACCGACCATTGGTTGCATCCACCGGGAGACTCTAAATTATCGTTGTCATAACCTCAATGTGATGAGAAACGATACTGATGTATGTGATACGGAGACTACACATGTAGCTCGTATGTTGTATCAGGCTCCGCCCACTACAAACAACAAAAAGAGGCTTGATTATCCTAACCTAAAACTATGCATATGTTACGTTAGATACATACAATTGGGCAATCTAGACTCCCTTAGAATTCCTTAGCCCGGTTGTTGATTTCATCATTTCCTTACTCTTTGTTACTCATTTACTTTTCTTGTGTACTCTTATTTGTAGTCACCTTTCATCCTTACAACTTCAAAACTTTTCGCATCCACTTCTCTTTAAACCACAACTAACTTGCATGCATTGTTCATAAATCTCTGCGGGAGACAAAGTCCATCTCCTGTGCTCCTTGTGGGATCCATACTCTTAAAAAAGATACAACTAAACCTTGTACACTTGCAGGCTATTACCGGTTCCTTGTATGAGGCCGACCCCGTTGACTGGAACGTCCTAGCGGTGGAGTCGGACGAGGATCCCATCATATGTGTTGCCCTCTGCCGGTCACGGATCGACAGGGGCAGCAACTTGAGCTCCTTGCCCTCCCAGGTGGCCCGATGGGGTAGCTCAAGCTAAGCATCCGATAGCGCTGGCGCATCGCGGTCCACGCCCTCCTCGGTGAGGCGGCGGGGCGAGTAGTGGCGCCCATCACCTCCGTCCCCTACTCCTCCCGGACGATGTATACTCGTGCCGACACCATCGAGTTGATGGGGGTGACTCCTTGGGTTGGAGGTGAGGGCACCTTGTCGTGCGAGGTGGGTGGCCTAGGTCGGATCTATTCGGTCTGTTTGCGGGTCGTGCAAATCCACGTGGGTTGCCCTCCCCTCGGACTCGGAGGAAGATCTCCTCCATGATGTCATCCATTGGTCGTTGACCACGGCCGAGATGGTCGCCCGCCGCTGCAAAATTGTCAAGGCATTGTGGCTCGGCCTCGAGGAGTTCGAGCGCCTTGACAAGGAGAAGGCGGCCAAAACACTGAAAGTGGAGCGGCTTGCCAAGGAGCAGGCCAGCATGACCCGGCGTCTGGTCGGGCTCCCCTTCTCATCCTCACCCTCTAGTGACCATGATGCCCCTTCGGCCACCGACGTGTACAACGTGGACTTTGACACCTACTGCCACCACACCAGAGACGCCAAGGGGAAGGGCTAATCGAGGAAGCGGTGAACTCCACAAACTATTGCACACTTTTAGTTGTATTTGTCTTAGTACATCGATCGAACTATCTATCTTTTGTGTATGTCCTGTTGAAATGAACTTGCTATGTTTGATACTATGCTATGCTATCTATCTATGTTGCATGGAATTCCAGGGTGGGGGTCTAGATATGAGGGGGAGGGGGCGGCTGCGGACACAACAAATGAGAGGTGGGCGGCCAGCGCATCCGCGGACATATAGGAGGCAGATTTGACTATTCCGATTGTTGATGCTCTAAAATATATTCTCAGTGTAGTTATTTACCCAATAACACGAGAGAGACAATCTATTCCATTCGAGGAGTAGAAGCCTTTTATTGATCCCTATCGATGATGCAATCACAAAAGAGTTCACACATTTTTTTTTCAAAGGTTTCTACCAAACGTGCTGCGGGCCGCAACAGCGTGCATTGAACTGTGGCCGAAAACCTACAGATGACATAATCATTTGGAAAAGAGCACGTCCATCTCCTCTAGGGTCCGGCCCTTCGTCTCTGGCAGGCGCAGGAAGACGAACACGTACGCCGTGGCCGCCATACTGGCGTACAGAAAGAAGCACCCGGGCATGGTGATCCAGCCCGCTAGCGATATGAACGACATGCTTACCACCCCGCAAGTCAGCCGGTTCACCGCCATGCCCAGGCTCGAGCCCTGCGCACGCAGCCGCAGCGGCGTGATCTCTGCCGTGTACGTGGACGGGAGCGACCCCCACCCGACCGAAAACGCCGCGACCGTGGCCAGCGTGAACGCCACGCAGGCAGCCGTGCTCGCTGGCGACGTCTCGCCGATGCAGAGTGTGAGAGCCAGGCCGGTCAGCGAGGCGGCCACGCCGCCGGCGCTGGCCAGCAGGAGCGGCCGCCGGCCGAAGCGGTCGGAAAAGAGCGAGACCACGAGTATGAAGCACGTCTTGACGACACCGATGGCCACGGTGGCGCCCAAGATGGCGCTATTCGACGACATGCCTGCCTTCTTGAACATGAGCGGGCTGTACAGCAGGATGGCGTCGACGCCCAACGCTTGCTGGAGGAAGTTGAGCCCGACCACGAAGACAAGGATCCGCCGGACCATCGCTGACGGTCGAAAGATCAGCTCCCGCCACACGCCGCTATCGGCTTCTCGCGGCGCCTCGACGACCCGCTTGATCTCCTCAAACCGGAGCTCGGCCTCGGCGGCGGTATCGGAGGTGCGCACGAGCACTGCGCGCGCGTCGTCCTCGCGCCCGCGCATGGCGAGCCACCGCGGGGACTCCGGCATGGCGAGCACCCCGGCGGCGAGGAGCACCGGTGGGAGCACGCCGATGGCGTACATGACGCGCCAACTGAGGTGCACCGGCAGGCCAGCCAAGGCGTAGTTCGACACGTAACTGAGCAGGATGCCGACGTTGACAAATATCTGTGCAAGCACGGCAACGAAAGATTAATCTACGAGACGCCAAGCGCGCTCAAGCACGGCGGCAGCAGCGTGCGCCCGCACTTACATCGAGTAACGAGGAAAGCACGCCACGCGCGGAGGCCGGCGAGATCTCGGCGTTGTAGACCGGCGCGACGACGAGGGAGAAGCCAACGCCGATGCTGGTGATGAAGCGCGCGGCCATGAGCGCCGCGTAGCTGCCGCCAAGCGACATGGCGAGCGCGCCGGCCATGAGGAAGCCGTTGGCGAGCACGAGCGTGCCGCGGCGGCCCAGGAGGTCGGCCGCCCAGCCGGCGGCGAGGATGGACACGAGCATGTACACGTTCATGGACCCAGCCAGTACCTCCACCTGCTCGTCGGTAAGCCCCAGGTCCTCCCGGATGAAGAGCTGCGCGCCGCTCATCAGCGCGAGATCTGCAGCAAATTAACAGGTCAGCGAGAGCACGTCGTCGCTGTAGTGTGCTACGTACCAAGAAGCAGAGTTTGGGCGCGTACTGTAACCCATGAGGATCGTGGTCATGGAGGCCAGCGTGGCGCAGCCGAAGGCGTACATGTTCCGCGGTGGCTTCTCCGTCGACGCGAGCAGCGGGGCGGTGGTCGCTCCATGGGAAGCTCCATCGTGCGCCATGGCGCTCGCGTCGTCTTGGTGTCCTCGCAGGCGCCGGTGAGGCTCGAAGTATAGTGTAGAGGTTTAGCCTGTCGACTTCAACTTGTCCACTCAGGCCTACTTTGGTTCATAGAATAGAAATATTGTAGGAATAGAAAAATCATAAGAAGTAAGATGACATGCATCTCAATTCCTATAAAGAAAGAGATGTCATTTAATGCATAGGATAGGAATTTTTTCATTGAGTCTTAGCTAATGTTTTTTTCCTCCAAAATGTGAAGGATTGATTCCACAAAAATATTGTCTGATTGATTGTAGACTATTGGAAGGGGTCTTTTAAAAGTTCCCATGAAGTACCACACAATGTAGTGCATTTTTAATTTGGGAAAGTTTCTATGGATAGTCCGCACAGAGAAAATCATAAATACGAAAATCCTCCAAAGTCGTTTGAAAATCCTTTGATTAGAAAAGATTTCATTGTTCCGTATAAAACTATCCATCTGGTCCAACTAGACCCAGGGATTTCATTATGTTCTTTCTTCGGCTAGTAAATAATTGTTCGTGTGTTGCAACATAGATATAAATATTTTAATATGTTAGGTCGCGAATTGCACATCTATTACTTGTACATATTGTGTTCAAATTGTGACGACTTTGTCTACACAATCACTATGATTTACCTGTCATTTTATTGTTGATGTGTTTGTGTATGAAAAGATTTTAATTGTAAGTCAATAAAATGTGAGGCTGTTGAGATGCTCTCATGGTAAACCAGTGGAAAAAGCATAGAGAGCGGTTGGAATGGACGGTTAGAATGGAGAGAAGTGAGGGGATAACATACCTAGGGCGGGAAGTAGTGTATAGGGGTAAAATAAATGTACTCCCTCTGTTCATTTTTATAAGGCGTTGAAGAATTTCAGACAGCGTGCAAAGTAGCCTATTTTCAATTGTCTGAAATGACTTACAAAAGTGAACGGAGGGAGTAGCAAAAAGAATATATTCCAAAATTCGAAGAATGATGAGGACTTCTCATGTGTAAAAGTCTTGCATTCGAAACAGACCGGTGTGTTCCTTAGATCTGCATGATTGGTGTCCAAAGCGAGATCTGAATGCGTAGGTTTTTATTGCAAAAAATTGTGTGGTTGGCTTTGCGGTGTTGATTGACTCATGTGTGGGCGGCTAGTGTTAGCTTGTCTAGTAGCTGATGAAAGACGACAGGAGATTATCACCTAACACGAGCGACGTGCTGGCAAATTAAGATGCTTTGCTAGATACTCGTTGCTTGATTCTTGTAGGGGCTAGCATCCGAGGGACCGGAGGCAGATTTCTTTGTCGCCATATTGATTCCCCAAATGTAAAAAAAAGTAAATAGATTTTTTTTGAGAAGGAAGTAAATAGATGAATACAATGGTGGTATATGAGGTTGCACGGCATGTGCAATTTGATGCCACAAGTTAAAAAATATGGACCCCGCAAAAAAAACTTAAAAAATATGGAAAGCTGTTGGAGAAACTTGTCTCGGCGTTCATGCACGGTTCAATTCTCGTTTGGAACCATATCTGCAGCTTATGGGACGCCACAGGGTGGCCCCGGGCCCACCGTCAGTGACTAGGCTGAGCTAAGTTCAAACCAGCGACTTCCTCCTACCAACCCGAGCCCACTGTCAGTGACTAGGCTGTCAGTTTGAGTTTGTTGTCCATATATGATAACTAGGCCGAATAGTCTATGGACCAACACACAGGTGCTTAAACGGGTTGCAGTCACCGCGGCCCGTTTTTCATACGTTAGTTTATTTTTCCTTTTTAGAATTTTCTAAAATAAGTAAATCATAGTCGCAGTAGAAGATATAGTTGAAATATTCGTGTCCATATATTTTGGACAGTCTCATAAAAAGTATGCATGCATTTAATAAAAACTATTAACATAAGGTTTGTAATATATTTCACCAGCAAAAAAAAGTTTGTAATATATTTAATAAAAATATACACTTATTATTTTTAAAAGTATTCATATAACTAAAAATGTATTTAAGAATTATAAAAAGTTAATATATTAAAATAATATTTAATAGTTTTTGTTTGAGGATCTGCAGTCTAGGATTTACTAGGCTCGTATATATGTTTTAAAAATATATTTATTTATTTATCATTTGCAACGAGTATATAAATATTTTCTCAAACGCGGGCCTAGTACTTGAGGTTTTATTTTTACTATGCTTATAATTTACATATTTTCACAAGATTTTCAAAACAAAACTAACATATGAACAATGGGCTGCAGTGACTGCAGCCCATTTAACCTCCGTGTGCGTGTTAGTGTATAGGCCATTAGGCTAGTTATCGACTTATCATATATATATTCCATTAGCTTTGGGGATGATGGAAGATTTTGTGTCATGGCATCTTAATAGGAGTGGGGTTTTCTCGGTAAGATCAGCATATCATGAAGAATGGGGGTACCAACACGGACGAAAGTTGAGGATGACAAATTCAATTCAAGCCTCAAGTACTAGTCCAGTTTGGCATGCCATTTGGAAGTTGCGTCTTCCATAAAAAAATAAAATTCATGTTTGGAGAACTTTGCTTGGAGCAACCCCTGCAAGGGTGTCTTAGCTAACTTCAAGTTCGGATTGTGAAAGTATTCGGCATGCTATGTTTCTAAGCCCGAGAGTGAGGGAGATTTGGCGGATCTTGGAAATGCATGAGTTAGTGTCTGAAGTGTGCTCCATTGAACCTGAAGGGGGACAGTGCTTTGCGACCTGCTACTATCCAAAAGCTCAGTTAGACCGCTGGTAAATGATGTGCATCAGAATGATCTAGTGGCAACTACAATCTTGTATGTATGGTGGGAGTGCTACAAATACACACATGGAGAACATATGTATGAACCGGCCAGGTCGGCTCAGGCAATCTCAACACTTGTGCAAAATTTCTCATGGGCAAAGTTGAAGAGCGCAAAGATTAAAAGGCATGAATGGAGTAAACCAGCAGAGGGGGTCATCAAACTAAAAGTTGAAGCCACCTTTGGTTATGATAATGGCACAGGAAGTACGGGTGCAGTGCTTCACGGCGATCATGGCTTTTTCATTGCAGTTGCATGTAGTAACATATCCTTCATGGAAGATGCGGCGACGGCGGAAGCAAGAGGACTGCGAGATGAACTCATACTCGCGAACGAGGTGGGGTGTAACAAGATACATGTGGAGGCGGACTACATGGAGGTCAGTGAGATCATGCAGAATGACGAGAATTCGCATGAGCCAGCAGCGGTGATTTATGAAGAATGTTCTTTTCTAGCTAGTAATTTTATATTCATAGTTTTTACTCATTGTCCTAGGGATGCTAATTGAAGGAAATATGCCTAGAGGAAATAATAAAGTTGTTATTTATATTTCCTTATATCATGATAAATGTTTATTATTCATGCTAGAATTGTATTAACCTGAAACTTAGTACATGTGTGAATACATAGACAAACAGAGTGTCCCTAGTATGCCTCTACTAGACTAGCTCGTTAATCCAAGACGGTTAAGTTTCCTAGCCATAGACATGTGTTGTTATTTGATGAACGGGATCACATCATTAGAGAATGATGTGATGGATAAGACCCGTCCGTTAGCTTAGCACTATGATCGTTTAGTTTATTCCTATTGCTTTCTTCATGACTTATACATGTACCTATGACTGAATACCAGAGGAACACTTAGTGTGCTATCAAACGTGACAACGTAACTGGGTGATTATAAAGATGCTCTACAGGTGCCCCCGATGGTGTTTGTTGAGTTGGCATAGATCGAGATTAGAATTTGTCACTCTGATTGTTGGAGAGGTATCTCTAGGCCCTCTCGGTAATGCACATCACTATAAGCCTTGCAAGCAATGTGACTAATGAGTTAGTTGCAGGATGATGCATTATGGAACGAGTAAAGAGACTTGCCGGTAATGATACTAAACTATGTATAATGATACCGACGATCGAATCTCGGGCAAGTAACAAACTGACGACAAAGGGAACAACGTATGTTTTTATGCGGTTTGACCGATAAAGATCTTCGTAGAATATGTAGGAGCCAATATGAGCATCCAAGTTCTGCTATTAGTTATTGACCGGAGATGTGTCTCGGTCATGTCTACATAGTTCTCGAACCCGTAGGGTCCGCACGCTTAACGTTCTCTGACGATTTGTATTATGAGTTATGTGATTTGATGTACAGAAGGTTGTTCGGAGTCCCGGATGAGATCACGGACATGGCGAGGAGTCTCAAAATGGTCGAGACATAAATATTGATATATTGGACCATGTTATTTGGACACCGGAAGTGTTCCGGATGGTTT